GGACTAAAGGCGTGTGCAGCTAGTAACTGCTTTTCTTTGCAAAGCTGTCCCCTTTTTTGATTGAACCCAAGGCCTCACACCTGGACAGTGAGTCCTCTAGTGTTGGGCCACACCCAAGCCTTCTAGGGTCCCTGCTGAGCTAGTCTCTGTCTCCGTGTGTCTCTTTCATGCACTCCTGTCCCATGGCTCCACCGTCACTAGGGAAAGCCCCTTTGTCCCCCAGCCCCTCCAGCAGCAGTCTCTATGTCAGGCTGGAGTCCCTAGTGACATCCTCATTGCTAAGTCCCATTGTTGGTCTTCCTGCTTGACCTCTCCAAGGCTTCTGACCCATTTTCTCATTCCCACATGGCAGGCCCCCACCCCAGCTTTTCACAGGCCCTTGTGTTGACACAGCGAGAAGAGGGTGGCCCTGAGACGACAGGTAAGGCAGAAGCGTGGCATGTGTCATTTCTGGACCTGGGACCCCTATTCCCATAGTGTTCTTTCTCTTGGCAGCTTGCTCTATGTGGTGCTGGCAGCCACTGAGAGGCTTACATGGTGGGGAACTGCGCCATTCTCCAGCCCCAGCCCAGTGTTCAGGTAATTGAGGGCACTTGGCAACTCCTCAAGAGGGACCCTGAGCCAGAGCCACCTAGATAATCACACATGGATCCCTGTTCTTCAGAACCTGTGTGAGATACTGTATTTGAAGCTGCTAAGCTTCAGGGTGATTTATTAGCTAGTGACACATGACAAAGGTAGGCACCTCTCTCCTAACTCCGAATCCACCTAGCCTAACACACTGGTTCCTATTCCTTCCTCTTCCTTAGTCTCTGTCCTCCCCCCAGAACACCCCCCCCCCCCATTGTTCTAACCACTGCTTATACTCAGATGCCAGGTGGAGAATTTCAAAGGGGCAGAAGTGAGGAGACAGGTGGGAAGTCCTTCTAAACCCTGAGGCCTGTGTGCTGCTGAGCGGCGTACCTCTCGGTATACCTCCATGCCTAACACCCTCCTCCCCGTAGCTGCCCACCCATGCCTGCCCCACCCAACAGGACCCCTAGACCATCCTTGCCACATCCACCTCTGTTCCCAGCACTGAGAAAGTCCCATGCATGGAAGGCTCTCAGGAAAGATTTCCTGAATAATACAAAAACAAATAGATGAGCGATAAGCAGGTCAGCCACCTCACACTGGGCCCCAACTGAGAGCTGGGGATCCTGGTCATCACTGGTCAGGATGGTCCTGGCCATGAACCTGAGCTCAGATGCAGGTGTGGGGCTGGACACCAAGCCCAGGTCCCTAGGATGCCACAGGTCCTCTGCATTCTGAGAGGACGAAAGACCCTCCTAATCTTCCTTCCTTCACAATATACCCTTCCAAAGCCCAAGGTTCACAACTGCCCCACTGCTTTAAAAATTGCCCAGTCTCTGAGCCAGCTGTGCTGACTGGAGCCTCAACTGCCAGCACTCAACAGACTGAGGCAGGAAGGCCACAAGTTCAAGGCTAGCATGACTATATAAAAAGATCCTATCTTCAGTGTGTGTGTGTGTGTGTGTGTGTGTGTGTGTGTGTGTGTGTGTGTGTGTGTATGTGTGGGGGGAGGGGTTGAGAGATACTGAGATTAAATCAATTAGTTATGTACCTGGTGGTGCAGGCCTGTAATCCCTACTTGGTTGAGTGAGGCAGGAAGATGAGAAGTTCAAGATCCTTCTGGGCTACAAAGTGAGTTCAAGGGCAGCCCAGGCAATTTGGTGAGCCTTGTTTCAAAACAAGAAGGGAAAGGAGGCTAGCTCGGGCTGTGTCTCAGTGGCGGTGTACTAGCCTGGCCTGTGTGAGGTCCTGCTTCCACCCCTTATATTGCAAGGGGGGAAAAATCAAGCAACCAAAGAAACAAGGGCCATGCGGCGGTGGTGGTGGGGCACACCTTTAATCCCAGCACTTGGGAGGCAGAGGCAGGCAGATCTCTGTGAGTTCAAGGCCAGCCTGGTCTACAGCGCGAGATCCAGGACAGGCACCTAAAGTACACAGAGAAACCCTGTCTCAAAAAATCAGAAGAGGAAGAAGGAGGAGGAGGAGGAGAAGAGGACGAGGAAGCAGCAGCAGCAGCAGCAGCAAGGGTGACTCCTTTGTACCCACACTGCCCCTTTATGAATTCAGTCAAGCTAGAGTTCCACTTAAATAGCATCTGAGCACAAAGATGACCTCTGCAGCTTGTTTTCTACTTTGTCCTCCTGACACTGCTCATGGACTCCCCTGGGACTCACCCTTAAAGTGTAAATATAGCGTGTCATTCAGGGCAGGGGTGATGTATAGCTTGTGTTGCTTGCAGAGTTTTTGAAGGAATTCTTTAGTCATCCTGTTAAAACGCAAAACACAAACAAGAGGCTCGTTTCAGCCTGTCAGTGGGGAAACATCTTTTAAGGTTTGTATTTGGTTTGCTTTGGTTTGGAGATAGGGTCTCACTCTGTAGCCCAGGTCAGCTGGGAACCCACTAGGCAATCCAGGCTGGCCTCACACTTGTGGACCTCCTGCCTCAGCCCTGCTGGGAATGCAGATGTGAGCCATGGCACCAGCTCAGGTGCTTTCCTCCATCCATTCTGTCTAAAGTCCTAAATCTGAAGCCTCTTGCTATATCTTCCTCCTCCTCCTTCTCCACTTTCCTTTGGTATGTTTGTATGTATGTGTTCTTGCGTGTTCACGTGTGTGCAAGGTCACAGGGAAAGCCAGTCTGAGCAACAGAGTGAGACCTTGTCTTAATGCAGGGCCTGGGGGATGGGGGGTGGGGATGACAAGATGGCTCAGTGGGTAGAACCAAAGCCTGAAGACCTGAGTTTGACCCCTGGAATCCTCAGTGGAAGGAGAGAATGGACTTCTGCAAGTTGTCTCTTGACCTCCATATATGTGCCAGGGTATATGGCTGTACACATTTGTTTCCATATTCTTCCTCCCACACTAGTAATAAATCCTTTTTTTTATTTCAAAAAAAAGAACTCAGGGCTGGAGACATGGTAAGATAGCTCTGCATTTAAGAGCATTTACAGAAGATACAGGACAAGTTCCCAGTAGACTTCAGGCAGCTCATAACCTCCCGTAATTCCAGCTCTAGGGAACCCAACACCTTCTTTTGGCCTCCATGGCTACCTACATACACATAAATATATACAAGTAACAACTCCCCCCCTTCCTTAAAAAGCTACTGCTGTTCTTATCCTGTTCTGGTAATAACTAGGCAGGCTCCTCAGCTGTTGTCTGAGCAAGGGACTAAAGGGCAATCACTGTGCACTCCTTGGTAGCTTGGTACTACCAAGCCGCACAACACAAACCTGGGGCCCCGATCATCCCTGTCATTTCTTGCATAGCCTGAGCGACACTCTAACCTACTGTCGCCGCTCTGTTGCTTCTGACTTTGGCAGGATGTTGTAGAAGGACCCACACATGTTTCCTTGGTCTCATTAATTTCTGTAAAATAAAAGAAGAGTCAACTTGTAAAGATAAAAAAATTTAGGATGGGTATGGGCAATCTCAGCCTGTAGTCCCAGCACCTAGGAGGCTTAGGAAGGAGACTCTCCATTGGGTTTTGGATTTGGCCAGCCTAAGCTCCAAAACAAAAGAAAAAACAAACCTAGGCTGTCATGGTTTTGATTTATATAAATGGCATCCTGTGCTTTTTGTGGAGCTTGTTTTTTTTTTTTATACCCATATATCTTCTTGAGAATGATCCCTACTGATGGATGAAGCTGTCAGTATGTTATTTTCAAGGCAGAAGAATTCACTGCTCTCTACAAGCACTCCCTTAAAGACATTTGCATTGCTAACGGTATCTGATGCCCTCTTCTGGCCTCCTTGGGCACCTGCACATCTCTTCCCCGCCACACACACTAAAATAAACTTTTTTTTTTTAAAAAAAGGGGAGGACACAGTGAAAAAAATAATTTAAAAGGACAAACTGGTGTCATTGAGAATTTACCAGTAAGTTTTCTTGAAGAATATCAAGTTACACAGAAGTAAAATTTAGCCAAAGAGTCACTGCCTCAGACCTAACTTTAGGACTGCTGGGATACAGATTCGAACCACTGTATTTATGCACTTCTGGGTTCAAACTCAGATTATCAGGCTAGTGTTGCAAGCACTTTTACCTTGTAAGGCACCTAGAAGCCTCAAATGCATGTAACCTCAAGAGCTGATGAGCTCTCTCTGTGAGGGGTCTGCTGGATGACACTGAACACTGTTTGGGGACTGAGTCTTACATTCATTGCAAACAATTCCCAGCCACTGGCGGTACCTGATAAACATTCATTGGAATAAATAACTTGTGTTCTATATGTGCTGGATTGATTATATTAATAAAAGTACAGCATTCATTAATAGTTAATGGGAAGGCATGCATGTGGGATGCTGGCTGATCCATGGCTGTATGGACAGGCATTTGTGAGGGGTGCTGGCTGCTCCCAGCTGCGTGAATGGGCATGTGTGAGGCACACGGGCCCTCGCCCCCTCGGCTCCCCGACGCGATGGCACCTTCTTTGCGGACCCCTGGGCCCGCGCCGCTGTGATCGCCCGCCGACTCCTCCAGACTGGGTTCCGTCGCTCCATCCGCCTGCTGCTCTGAGGTTGAGGCCTCGGGGTGCATGCTCACTCCTCGTCCCGCCACTCAGCTCCGGCACTAAGGTTGGCTAACTAAGTCGTTGGCTATCCAACGCTTCCCTGGTCGTCGCGGTAACCAGTGCACACGCGCAGTCGGTTACGCCGCGGAGGGCGGGCCTAGTGGGGAGCTCCACCCGGGCGCGTGCGCAGATCACGTGGGTAGCGGACCTGCGACGGAGTCCGGGGCGGCGGCTGCGCGGACTGGCGGCGGGACGGGCTTCAGAGACCGCGCCGCTTGCTGCAGGTATCGCGCCCGCGCCTCTCGCGCCCCGCTTCCGGCCCTGGCCACGCCCCCGGGGACCCCGACCCTCGGGAACGTCCCCACCCCACCCCCCTGCCGCGCCCCGTAGCTGCGAACTCTTGGTTCCGTGCTCCCGGCGGTCCCTCAGCAGCCGGTGCAGGTGTCCCGGGCCTCATCTTCGCCCCACGGCTCGCACACGCGACACGCCCTGGGACCGCTCTTTTTTCGGTGCCTCTTTATCCTTCTTTCCCCGCCGCTGGGTCTGAATGGGTTCTAGGATTCAGAACTGATGCAGAATGGCAGCGCTGCTGAAGAAAGCGCGCAGATCCTGCAGAGCCGGGTGGGTTCTGCAGAGTCGCTGGGCGGCGCCCGGCGTCGCAGGGGAGGAATGGGGAAACGAGGTGGCGAGTCCTTGTTCCACCACCAGGACTCAGCCGCACCCCTGGGCGGTGACCGCAGGGGATAAAGGTTACCACGGTCCGGTGGGGGGGGGGGGGGCGGACTCTCATGGACCACCAGCCAGGGCTCTGAGCCGTGCCTTAGTCTCAGGTCTTAGCTGTGACATCCTGGGAAGTGACTGTGCGTCCTTTTCCTCGTGAGATTGAAGGAAGGAGTAAAGTGAAGCCATAGGGATAATGTGCTTAGAAGCTTTTTCTTAAAGTCGGGTCAGTACAAATAGCGGTAGCTAACATCGAACCCTGAGCAATAATCCTGGCTAGTGCCTAAGGTTTATTGAGCGGTTGCGAAGTCAGTGCTTTTTATGTATCACCTCAGCTAATTCTCACTGTAGCTGGGAAGTGTTAGCCCCTTTTACATGTGGTGGCAAAAGGACAGTGTGTTGTAGTGTAACTTAATCCCCAAGAACAAGATCTCTTTTTTTCAGAGTGACTCTAGTTATTTCGGGAATATTTCAGAAGTGCAGAGTTCAACACTACTTTATTAGTGGAGTGTGTGTGTTGTGGGGGGGGGGGGTTGCTCATGTCTGGGTGTGAAAGCCACAGGTCAGTGTGTGTTGCGCTCCACCTTATTTTTTGAGAAAATGTCTTTCACTGAACCCAGAGTTTCCTTTAGGCTAGTCTGACTGGTCCCCATGATCCTCGATTGCTTTTTCCCTCCCAGTACTGGGGTTACAAATTGGTTCCACTGTTTTCCACTCTTACATACTACTAGGGATCTCAACTCAGGTCCCCAGCCTTGCACAGCAAGCATTTAATCTGCAGAGCCATCTTCCAAGTTCCCAGTGGATTTTTTTTTGAGGCAAAATTCATCATTTTAGCTATTTTGAAATGTGCAACTTAGCACTTTGTAGTACATTTACAGTGCTGGTCAGTTGTCACCCCCCTAGTTCCAGGTAATTCCCACCACCCCCAAAGAAATTCCACCCCATCAGCTGCAGTTTTAGCCCCATCTTGCCCCCAGTCAGTGCTCCTGATCAGATCTCCCTATTGCAAACATGTTTATACATGTGTTGTGTCTAACTTCTGTCCCTCAGCCTCATGTTTTCATGCCACAGCATGTACTCATGCCCCATTCCTTTTTAGAGCTCAGTAATATTTCACTGTATTATGTTTGGGTCACATTGTGGTCATCAATTGATGGACATTTTGGTAGTTTCATCTTTTGGCTAGTGAGTAAGGCTGACAGGAACCTGCTTTACAAACTTTTAGTGCAAGCAAAAAATTTCAGTTTTTTTTGGATGAGTGCCTAGGAGTGGACTGCTGTTGCCTGTATTCCTGGTGCCTAAGTAGAGACCTGGATCTCAGGGATGTTGTATCTTGGGTAAGAGTCCTGGGTTCTGGTTCCCATGTTGCTGTTATTTTCCCTCAACCTTACTGCTGGTTCAATCAGTGATGAAAAATAGGCAGAAGAAGGGAAGGAGCTCCCCAAATCTCACTGATCTGTAAGAGAATTTGTCAGAATGCTGATACAAAGTTTTGGGATTTTTTTTCCTCTTCAAGCATGAAACTTGAGCTCTGGCCCAAACAGTATCTAATGGAATTTACTCAGGCAATGTTGTATTTACTAAGCAATCTTGTATACACAGCATTTTGGCACCATGGAGCCCTACAGAGGATGCATGAAAACCGGTTGCCACCATTACAGAAGCCAGGGTTGCAGACTTAAATCAGAAGAACTTCTCAAAAATACTGTGAGGAAATTCCTGCCAGGGGTTGCAGTGTGAAGTAAAATTCGATGAGCAGTGCTCGTAGAGGAAGGGATTTGGAAACAAAGACATCCAGCTTATCAACAATGCTAGCAAGAAATATCAGCGAGAGCATGTGTCTAGAGTCTGTCAGGAATTCTTGTCATTCTGAGAGAGAAAGAAGACAATATAGTAGGAAGAGGGGCAAACAATGGGAACGGGCATTTCAGAGATTCAAAGCAGCGTCACACATGGTTCAGAGAAGTCTTGGCCCCGTTACTAGCCACTCCTACACACCCTGTTGTTTGAGGGTGAACTCTTGGGCGTTCCTGCAGGTGGCACAGAGGAGGCAGTGTGCACCCCCACCTGTGAGGCAGGTGAGGCAGGCCTGTCACTGTGGAAAGGATCCGTGAGGTAGAGTGGAACCCTTGAGTGCCTGTGGCCCAGCAGGTCCACTGTGTAGCATGCCCCTTCGTGAATGCCTGCACCAGTGCCCAAGAGACGTTATTAAGAATTTGAGTGGTGGCCCTGGGCTGGTGGTAGCATGGGCAGGAATTGTATGTGGCAGTGTCATGACCTACAGGAAAGCTCAGCGGGGAGAGGAGTCTCTGGAAGAGGAGGATGCAGGTCAGCTGAGGACATGGGGGAACTCCTCAGAAGCCACTCACAGGCAGCACTCAGCAGCGTTGTGAAGTGTTGTGAACAGACAGAGCTCTTTACAGAAAGAGCCAGAGTAGCAGGTTTGGGGTACAAGCTGTGATGCCAGCATTCAGGATGCTGAGGTAAGATCAATGGCAGCCTGTGCCTCAAAAATAAATAAATAAACAAACCCCAGCTTTCAGGAGGGTGTCCCCTTCAATGTAGAAGAGGGGACAAGGAGAAGGCCTGGGTGTCCTAGAACTTACTGGATGCTGCTTTTATTGGTCACTGAGTAGGTGTTTTGTTTTCCTTCGAACTGTAATTAGTAGGTTTTACACTTTGGAATGTGTTTTCTAGTTTCTTTTTAAATTTTTTATGTTTGGCACACATTCTCACTTGTAGACTAGGATGTCTTTGAACTCACAGATACCCACTTGCCTCTGCCTCTTGATTTCTGAGATTAAATAAATGGCCACCATGCCCAGCCCCCCCCCTTTTAATTATGGAGAAATTGGTTTTGGACACAGCTCCTGACCTCCGGAGGCCTGAACTCCAGTTGCAGAATCAGAGACAAGTGAAATATTGTGTTAGAGGCAGAGCAGCAGAGGGTGGGGCTGGGTTGATAGGAGAGGAGGAGCCTTAGGCTGGAAAAGGTTGCCCCTCAAGACCTTTGGTGGCCGGGGATTTGAACGAAGGAGAGTGTGAGTGGATAGGAGCTGACTTGGAAGGCCAAGCAGGACTCAGGGTTCTGTGTCCAAGGCAGGCTCAGTGGACACGCCAGAGCCAGATGAAGAGCACCACACCTGTGGCTGCAGAGGGTAAGGGGGCCTTGTCAGTCCTTCCCAGCCTGCAGGGTCACCCTTCCGTCCAAGAGTAAGGACTTGCTTTCTGATAACACTGTGGTTATGGCTGAGGGCCTGTGGCAGTGTCTTCCAGACTGACAGTGCATTATCTGTCTGTCCATCCCTTCTCCCAGGCATCTGTCCCTGGGTCCCCCATACTTCCTTCTGTGACATGACTTAACAAATGATTATTTCCTTATTTATAGTTCTGCATGTTAGAGACTGAAGTTCCCCTCACCACACCGAAGTCACAGTCCCCAGCACGGTCCTTCTAGAGACCCCAGGGAAGATTGTCCTCACCCTTGCTAGCTCCCAGAGTCATTCCCACGCCTTGACTGTGACCCTGTGGAGACTGTGGTCATGTCACCCACCCTGCCTCTGACCTTCCTGTCCCCATGTCAGGACACATGGGAATGTCCAGGCATGCCTCAGGACTGTGCCTGGAGTGGGCACTGGCTTTTTGTCCTAGGGATCTTACTCATCTATCAGAAGTGTCCTAGGGATCTTACTCATCTATTAGTAGAAGTGTCCCATGTATGTTCCGTTTTGGCCTCCTCCCTCAGCAGTTCTGCAAACGCCCTACCTCACAGATGGTCAGTTATCTTTCTGTGGGTCTCCAGGCATATGGGCCCAGGAGACTTCTGATGTCTCAAGTTGTCTTTGGTCTGGGACATTTAGGTGCCATCTTTAGCCCTGTTTGAATGGTTTCGTTTTCCATGCACACTTCCTATGTGAGGCCAACCCCACCACCACCACCACCACCACCACCACCACCACCACCACCACCACCACACACAGGCCAGTGACCACCGGTTTAGGTCCTTTGATGGCTTTGTGCTTTATTCATAAACGATCTGGTGTTTGACCACATGAGGCCTCGGTGAGTTTGGTGGATGTGAGTCAGGTCTCACCCTGACCTGGCTGGGAGAAGTGACTGAATGGTGTTATTTTTTTCATGTCAAGGCTCCAGAGCACCAGGGCTGTCGGTGCCTGTTTCTAAGCAACACCTCATAGTTGGTGGGGCCACTGTGTCAGCAGTCATGACAGTGGCACGCTGGGGAAGGGTCTCCAGGGGGAAAATGGAGAATCCTGCCAAGCCCCCCAAACCACCGTCCCCCTCCTTCAAGTCCCTCTCCTTCCTGCCACTCCTGCCAGGGTATGAGAAAGTGTTGGGCACCCGGGTGCAGGCAGGCCAGTCAGAAGCTACCAGGCTTTGGGTGTGGACTACACAGGCTGGCTGTTGTGGTGAAGAGTTCAAACAGGTGCTGCTGAGGACTGAGGAAGGTAGTAGGGAGAGAGGGTGACCCTGCCCAGGCAGGTGGAGCCACCAGAGCCAGGTGATGTGGGCAGCCGGCCGCTCAGGCTCAGGTGCTCGGAGGGCAGTATAGATTGCCCTTGTTCCCCAAGCTCACCTGGATGGGTTTTTGTCCTAGCCGATGATGTGTCCCTAAGAAGGAAAGAGTCAGGACAAGGAAGGAATGCCCTCTGCACTGTGCCTCCAAGGCCAGGGGACTGTCCCCAGACGCACACTCTTTGCTGCCGACTCATGCATTAAAACTTTGGCTTTGTTTTGCAAGCATTGATCTTAGTTTTACATAAAGTGTTCCCAGCTGAGCTGCGGCTTTGTTTCTTGTTGGCTCGTTCTCCTTCACAGCTGCCCCTCAGAGCTGACAGCAAGAGAAGACGGACAGACTGTCCGTGAGGAGAGCAGAAGCCCCCTGAGGTCAGGCACCTTCCACTGGATTTCCTTCACTGGTGTTCCCAGTCTTGGGGAAGCTGGGGCACAGGGGCAGTAGCTGCATCCCTTCATCCCCTCCCTCCTCTCTCCCTCCCTCCTTCCTTCCTTTTCTCCCTCCCTTTCTTTGCTGGTGCTTGTAGCCAGGACTTCATGTTGGATAAGCCACTGAGCCACTCCCCACCCCCCACGCCCTTAGATGTTTTTCATTAGGTTCCAGGCTGGCTTTGAACTCCTTTTTCCCACTTTAGCCCCTCCAGTGGTTGAGATCACAGACCTGTGCTATGGGGCCTTTGTTTGTTTGTTTGTTTTTTAAGGCAGTCTCTGTGTGTAGCCCTGGCTGGTCTGGAATATACTATGTAGACCAGGCTGGCTTTGAACTCACAGAGAGCCACCTACCTCTGCCTCCTCAATGCTGGGATTAAAGGCATATACCACCGGTTCAGCTGGGGTCTGATTTTTTAATTTTTATATTTATTTTTTGTAAATAGCCCAGCTTTTTGGCCTTGAACCGGGACTCCTTCGTCCTCATCCGCCCAAATTACGTGTCCACATCACTACCCAGGTTGAGAATAGCTTTCCGAACTTGCTGTGACGTCAGCGCAGTTTCTCCCCCATGGTGGAAATGTGGAACCACTGGGGAGAGTGCCCTGTGTGGTCAGGGCCTCGGCGGCTTGCCTCTGCCTGTCTTCTGTCTGAGGCTGTTGCTCAGCTTTCTCTTCATGCTTCCCTCCGCGTTTTCCTGGGAGGAGATGTGCTCACAGGTTCCTGCTTGGTGGTTAGTTTGTTTCATTTTTCCCTCTGCGAAGCTTGGTAGAGCTTGAATTAAATCACGGTAGACAGGGGGGCGGCACCTGCTCCTTCCCCAAGGCGTGTGCCCCAAGGCGTGTGCCGTGTTTGCCGCTGTGTTGACTGTTTTCAGGACTCCCCTCATCTCACTTTGGATTTCCTTCCAGAAGTCCGTCATTCCCACAAGTTGTGTATGCTCTTTTTTGAGGGAGAGGGGGTGGTACTTAAGATCTAGTTTCCTGTGTGTGATCTCAGCCGTCTGACTATGTGCGTGAGCCTTCAGGCCCATCTGGCCATTTAGCGGACCCTGGATCTGACTGCGGTGGCTCCTCTGCTATGGTCCAGGATGGAGCACAGCCCTTGGTCATGCCATCAAGACCATGCCTGGCCTCTGTCCACCTCTCCAGGGTCCCCTCTGCTTGTAGGCTCAGGTACCTAGATGAGATTGCATTTTAATCGTTAAACGCTTGCCTGTCTTGTATCCTTAACACCTGGCACAGTACTAGGGACATGTCTGCCCTTTAGTGTTTACTCTGTACACACTTAGTATGGGAGGGTGCCTGCTGTGCTGTTGCGGAAGGGCGCCATCGCCTCATGTTTTGGGGGTGCTCCTTTTATTTAATATGCCTGTTTCTTGGTGCCAAGGCCACGTGATGTTACTACCTGTGTTTATTCTACTTGTCACTGTTGAGGTAGTAGGTCCTCTGTACACTTGCTGACTGAATGACGCCAGGAGCTGAGCACATTCCAGCTGCCATCAGTGGTAATTGCGCCTCCTGCCGCTCGGAAGTAGGGCACTCATGTTTCTTTTTGTTCTGGCTGCTTGTGGCTTAGATCGAGGTTTTTGGAGGGATTCGGTAGTTCTGTTGAATAATCTCTTGGAAGGCAAGAATTTCCTAAGCCACAGGTGTTAGTGAGGTCATGCTGTGACAGTTTCAGGCTGTGTGCTCTTGGGAGTTAGTGTTACTTGAGGCAGAGTCAAGAAGGCTGGGGTTCTCCCTCCTTGATCTGAGGAGGTCCGCTCTGTCCACAAAGTGCAGCTCTCTCTCTTCTTGTCCCTGCAGGTTGCCATGGCTGCTGTTGACAGCTTCTACCTCTTGTACAGGGAAATTGCCAGGTCTTGCAACTGCTATATGGAAGCACTGGCCTTGGTGGGAGCATGGTACACAGCCAGAAAGAGCATCACGGTCATCTGTGACTTCTACAGCCTGGTCAGGCTGCACTTCATCCCTCGCCTGGGGAGCAGGCCCGACCTCATCAAGCAGTATGGAAGATGGGCTGTCGTCAGTGGTAACTTGATTTCAGCTCCAGTGACCTTTCTGTTTGGGTGGTATTTTAAGTCAGTGCGGCCAGCAAGGAGCTACAGAGTTTAACTGGAGGCTGCGGCCTCCTGCTGAGACCTCATTCTGCACTCTTCCCACCTCACTTCAGGGAGCCCCAACCTCAGAGGCATCCCCCTCATTACTCCAGCTCCCTCCCCGTTCCCAGTCCCCCACTCCCCACCCCTCACATGTCTTTCCTGCTGTCTCTTTTGACATTGTCCTTAGGGGTTGTCAAAGCTCTCAGAAATGCTTTGCCTAGTTTGAATTGCATTGTGATTTATCTCAAGTGTCCCAGAAAGCTCATCCTGACACCTAAGCAAGTCAGGGGCGAGTTTGAAAACAGTCCTACAGTAGTATCCTACTCGATCTGGCTGAGTGTGAGCAGTGCCTGGTCTGTCTGTCAGGGTATCTTAGAGTGCATGCATTCGTGTGTGTGTGTGTGTGTGTGTGTGTGTGTATGTGTGTGTGTGTGTGTGTACATATAAAAATCTGGGAACAAATTTTGGGAGTCAATTCTCTCCTTCCACCATGTGGGTCCTGGGGTTTGAACTCAGATCGTCAGGCTTGGCAGCGAGTACCTATACCTACTGAGCCCTCTTGCTAGTCCCTACCTGAGGATCTTTAGCGTTATGATTCACCTTATCAATTCAGTGTAGTCCTTAACTGGCAGATGTTGTGCATTTCCCCTCAGTGTACGTTTTTCTCTGATGAGATCAACAGTGAGTAGTTCTGGTTCTCTGGAGGGATACCGTGCTTCACCACGTTCATGCCTCCTGGCTTGCCTTGCAGGGGCCACAGATGGCATTGGGAAGGCCTATGCTGAGGAGTTAGCGAGCCATGGACTCAACATCATCCTGATCAGCCATGAAGAAGAGAAGCTGCAGGCTGTGGCCAAGCACATAGCTGACACCTACAGGGTGGAGACAGTTGTCATGGTAGCAGACTTCAGCAGAGGCCGGGAGGTTTATGCTCCAATCCGAGAAGCCCTGAGAGACAGAGACATTGGCATCCTGGTGAATGACATGGGAGCATTCTACCCCTACCCCCAGTATTTCACCCAGATTCCTGAGGACACGCTCTGGGACATTGTGAATGTGAACATTGCGGCTGCAAGCTTGATGGTCCACATAGTGCTTCCGGGAATGGTGGAGAGAAAGAAGGGTGCCATCGTCACAGTGTCTTCTGGCTCCTGCTGCAAGCCCACACCGCAGCTGGCTGCCATTTCTGCATCCAAGGTCAGACTCTTCTTCCCGTGGGACGGTCAGGGAGTAGTCAGCTCCCATTTGCTTATGCTGGCAGTTTTTCCCAAGATGGGAGTAGGCAAGTCTTTTGCTCCTGGGTTTTCTTTCAAGGTCCTTCTAGGTTCAGAGTCCTCCCCTTCTGTCCCCCCAGGCCTATCTGGACCACTTCAGCCGAGCCCTGCAGTATGAGTATGCCTCTAAAGGGATCTTCGTGCAGAGTCTGATCCCCTTCTACGTGACCACCAGTGTGACGGCACCCGGCAGCTTCCTGCACAGATGTCCGTGGCTGGCACCTTCGCCCAGAGTGTATGCACAGCATGCGGTGTCGACCCTGGGCATTTCGAAAAGGACCACGGGCTACTGGTCCCACTCTATTCAGGTAGCCCCATGCCGTCAGAGCCAAAGCTCTGTGAGCCATGCCAGGGACCAAGGGTTGGGAATCCTCACCACACCTCATGTCTCAGTGATTTCACTTATAGTGCTAGATGCTCCTGTGGGGTGATTCATGTAAAAATTTTCAAATTTTCTCCCCCCTCCTCAAACATGGAATAGGCTGCTTCAGCTTGAATAGGGATTTCAGTGCAGAGATGTTGGTGATGTCTGAAGGGGACATGCTATGTGCACAGCCCAGTTCAGAAAGCCCTGAGATAGGGCCATGAACCTCCATGTATTCTTGGATTCGTTTACTCAGGAAATCTAGAATTTTTTCCTAAGATTTTTTGTTGTTGTTGTTCAGATAAAACAAAGATTTTAAGAGTATTTCAAGGTCAGCCAGATGGCTCAGCAGGTAAAGGTGCTTGCCTCCAGGCCTGACGACCTGAGCTTGTTCTCTAAGCCCCACGTGGTGGAGGAAGAGCAGTGCCTTCCACAAGTTGTCCTCAGGTCGCTACACACACCAGGGCATGCATGCATATACAAATAAGTGTTTGAAGAGTATGTGAACTTCTGCCAGGTGTGATGGCACATGCCTTTAATCCCAGCACTCAGGAGGCAGAGGCAGGTGAGTCTGAGGCCAGCCTGATCTACAAAGTGAGTTCCAGAACAGCTAGAGCTGTTACACAGAGAAACCATGTCTTAAAAAACCAAAAAAGAAAAATATTTGAACTTAATGAAATATTTTAAATTGTGATTTTTAATTACAAGGGCAGTAACTAAAGATTATAATAATCTGTTTCTTATTATCTGGAATAGATATAGATGTTCCCAGATTTGGAATTTACTGGGCATTCTGACTGCCAGTTAAAATAGTTTGGGGGCTGTTATGCATAAAGATAATTTAGTTTACTACCACAAAATAAACGTGAGTAAATTAGCACATAATTCTTACTTTTGTCTAAAGGCTCAGAACTATAGGTTTGTCTAAAAAGCTGTCTTAGTAACTCTTTCCGAGTCCATACTTCCTTGAGAACTGAGCAGAGAAACCCGAAAAGTCGTTTAAGGCTGGCTATGGTAGCCCAGCCATCTTTTTAATAGGCAAGAGGCTGAGGCAGGAAGATCTCAACTTAGGGTCAGCCTGGCCTATGTAGTGAGACCTTTTCTTTCTCAAAGCAAAAACAAAAAGTGAAAAGTGGCTCTAAGACCTTGAAGTTCTCTTAGAGATGCAGCTGCCGGGGCAGGTGCGGGCCGGTAATCCTGGCTACTTTGGAGGCTGAGGCAGAAGGATGGCAGAGCCTGCCTGAACTGTAGAGTGAGTTCAAGGCCAGCCTGAGCAACTTACCAAGACCTTGTCTCAAAATAGAAAAAGTTTAAAATTGAGAGAGAGAACGAATAAATGAACTAGGGATGTTGCTCAGTGCAAGCCTGGGGCCCTGGATTCTATCCCTAGTACCACTATTGGCAACAAAAATGTATTTTCTGCCAAGGAGTCCCATGAAGCTCTTTAGTCCCGGGGTAGTTTTCTGTACAGAGCTGTGAGAACTTTGTTTTTAACCTTGCCAATCTGTTTCTTTTGTCTTTTTCCCCCTTAATTTTTAGGGTGATGCCCTTTTAAAGCAGTTTTACACTTTATGTGTTTTATGTATGTTTCTGTGGGTATAAGCACACGATTGCAGTGCCCACAGAGGCCAGAAGAGAGTGTCAGATCCCCTGGAACTGGAGTTCTGGGTAGTTAGGAGCCGTCTGACATTTGTGCTGGGAACTGACTGAACTCCAGTCTTGGTGAAGAGCAGCCAGTGCTCTTAACCACTGAGCATCTCTCCAGCCCCTGCTTCTGTTTCACAACCAAGATATTCATCCGCCACTGTCTTGGCCACGCTGTACTTCTCTGTTGGCTCTGGCTGTGACTTTTCCCATGTAGTTACTGCTTTCCCAGGGTCACAGAGGTCTCAGTTTGATGAAGATTTTCACCCTCTGTCATCCTTTAGCTGTAAGGAACAGATTTGGGATATATCAAACAAACGGTGACACTTCTCACCCCAGTTGGCCTCCTATGCTGTGAGTTTAATGAGAACGGTATCCTGCATTTGTTGGTTGCCGGGAGGAGGAAGTTGAGAGCAGATGTGCATTGGTGGATTTCTGCTCCAGCAGTGAACATCGCAGGAGAGGGGCCTCCGCCTGGAGACGTGTAACACGTCGGTAGATGGAACAGGAAGGATTGGGACTACTCTGGTCCAGATAGCCGGCTGCCTGAGAAGGGGTAATCAGGTGTGACGAACGTGAGTGGAGCTGAGTACAGCTGGTTACAAGGGTGCTGGGGAGCTGGGCGGAGAAGCTGAGGTGGCAGCTACACAGCTTGGTGTTCAGGCGAGGAGTTTCTGCCGGAGACAGGGTCGCAGGTTGGCAGCGTTTGGTAACGCTGCAGAGAGCGTATGTAAGGAGAAGAGCTAGGTGAGAGTCTCAGCATGGCAGGGCAAAATGGAGGAAGGAGTTCTAGCTGAGGTGGGGATGTCCGAGGGAAGCCAGGTGGAGACTGACAAGGGTGTGCATGGTCACTGTCTGTGCCTTCCGGTGTCTTTCTGAACTTGACTTCGAGGGCCTCCACTGGTGTTTTTGCTGCCCCAGGAGCACTGCTCTCTTAAGCTCGGATGGGTCAGCATCCGTGACGTGACTCAAACTCTAAAGAGTTTAAAGAGGCCGGGCGGTGGTGGTAGTGGTGCACACCTTTGATCCCAGCACTCAGCAGGCGGAGCCAGGTGGATCTCTGTGAGTTCGAGGCCAGCCTGGTCTACAGAGTGAGATCCAGGACAGGCTCCAAAACTACACAGAGAAACCCTGCTTGAAACATCCCCCACTCAAAAAAAAGAGTTTAAGAGCCTGAAACCCCTTCCTGGGTGCCTCTGCTTCCCAAACTCTTGCTTCAGTTGGGGACTGTCACCACCCCAGCTCAAGAGTGGTTTGCTTCCCTGTCTAATGGAGTGAAGTGAGATCTTAGCTAGGTGAGGGCAAAGCCCAAAGTAGTGCAGCCAAGGTTCAGCAGTGGATAAAGACTGACCTGCAGAGGACAAGAAGAGTGAGGCACCGTCTCTGGAGCAATGTCTCCCATAACAAAGGGCGTGGGGTTATTCAGGACGCCTGTACATACTATCTAGAGTTGGTCCATGCGCAGTCTGAGGTTACAGAGGTGAACGTGATGGACAGGGATGCTCTGGGCATGCTTAGCTTTCACCATAAAGTACAGCTGAAACTTACCCTGACTCAGGAGTGTGCCTTTGAAACTCCAGCGCTTCATGGTCTGCACCCTGAGGATAAAGTTCATCACTCCTCTTCCCTCGCTCCCACAGACAGCTGCCAAGGGAGCCAGCGTTTGACTGGCGTGCTGGAGAACTGTTCTCTGGTTGACTCGACTTGGCCCCCTTCCCACTAAGGAAACACTGAAATACGCATAACGAGTACCACCCGGGCTCCCAGGGTCTCACCTGTCTCAGGGGCCCATGGGTTTGTACGAGCCACTCCCGGGGCCTCCCAAGGGACTCCTGCAAGACTCTTTCATCTCCTTGGATTTAGATGGAACCCTGTTCGGGGTGGTACAGCTGTAGCTTCTCCTTGGATTTAGAATGTTTTACTTAGGACATTTGTTCCCAGAATGGAACAGAAAGGGAGCAGGCGCTGATGGTGGGCATCACGATGGGGTGTCACGCCTTGAGTGAATCGAGGTGAGTGCCCTATGCAGAAGCAAACCTCAGTATGGAAGGGGCTCAGACTCTGTTGTTTAATGTGGTCAGTAGATGTCTGTTAACAGGGTTAGATCCCGCACTGGTCGGTACCCTTGTTTCTTCAGTTTTGATGGTTTGGGATTCTAACCATGTCTCTCTCTCTCTCTCTTTCGTTTGTAGTTTCTTTTCGCACAGTATATGCCTGAGTGGCTCTGGGTGTGGGGAGCAAACCTTCTCAACCGCTCCCTACGGAAAGAGGCCTTATCCTGCCAAGCCTGAATCTGGAAGCTGGGGAGAGGCTGGGCCAAGCCACAGTAACCTGCAGTATTCCGGCATTTGGAAAACACATTTAGTTCACCTGCATATTGTCTCTTACTGAGTACCTAGTGTGTTGCCATCTTTCACGAGGCCGACTTTCAGTCTGCGAGAAAACCTCAGGGACCACACGGGTGGCCCAGGGCTCATAGCCACGAAGCCTGAGAACAGAAGGGAAGGCTTCCCTAGCGGTTAGAATGGCCAGCTCCTGTAAGGGAAATCACTTGTTTTCCTCTTATAGGTGATTACACTATTGGCTTTCAAACGTTCATCACGCTGGGCGTGGTGGCTCATGCCTTCAATCCCAGCACTCGAGAGGTGGAGACAGATGGATTTCTGAGTTTGTCTGGGTTATGTAGTGAGTTTCAGGCTAGCCAGGGATACATAGTTAAAACCTATCTCAAAAAATAATAATATCGTTCATCAGGAAGACAACAGAGAAGTGTTATTTTCTAACTGTGAACTGTGAGTGCAGATGGTGTTAGCAGTAGACATGGGTGTCACACCACATAGCTCCATGTTGGGGCATCTGTGTGTGCACACTGCCTTTCCCCATGCTTCCCCCAGAACTGTGTGTGCTGTGCGCTATGTGTGTCTGAGCAATGTTATTGATATGACTTTAATAGAGACTTTGTCAGGACGAGGTAACGGGGAGCCTTACCGTATTAAAGGTCTGGGTTACTCCTTTTCACTTGGTAAAAGCCTGCCCAACCCTGTCGTGGGCTTACCATGTCTGACGCTGCTTCCTTTGAGTGGTTTTTGTCTTTCTAACTCCGTGGGCAGGTTTCATTCCCAGATTGGGATACATAATGGGTTATCTTTTGATTTCTAAGTTAATTGTTGTGGCTAAGTAGTGATTTCTCAGTGTGTCTATGTTGTAACTGACCCCTTCAGAGCTGCTTATAGCTGGTTTTCGTACACTTTTCTATGTAATCCAATTTCTTCCCAGGAGCATTGTTGATAAAATCATCAAGTGTTTGTGGAATAGTGGTGAAAATATGTGCAACTTTTGTGTGTGGTATGAGGTATTATGGAAATAATGTTAGAAGCTCATTTTTGGCCTGTGTAATGAATGTGTACATTATAGGGGATGCTTTTATTGGTGTGAAGATAATTTACACAAACCCCCACAATATGGGTGAGTGTTGAAACTTACTGCGTTTAATTCAGTCTTTTAAAACCAAACACTTGTACGGGTTTCATAGCCAGCACTTGGGAATCCGTAAGTTATGGCGTCGTGTACAGAGTGGAGGAATGTGGCACTTAACATTGTGGCACTGATGCTGTGCCCGGGAAATGAAAATGGATGGAATGCTGGGACTTGTGTGGAATTATTTGAGGTGACATTCCAGCCCCCATAGGCGCAAGTGCACCTTGGGGGTGCTGTGACTGGGATCCAGAAGACCAGTGGTTAGATTCTGAAGTTCTTCCTGTCCTCAATTATGTCTTCAGAACATGTGCAGAACTCTGCTTGGTGATAGTGGCAGAAGAACATTGGTGGGGACTGCTGTCATACTGACGAGAACTTTGGGGGAATATGTGATAAGCAGCAGCAGCTCCACTTGAAACGTCATCAAGCATGATCCCCTGGGGGTAGGGGTGCGGAGGTGGGAGACTCGGGAGTTCAAGGCTATCATGGGCCACAAAGTGAAACCCTGGTTCAGGAAACAAAATCCATAGCAGGAACACACTGTCAGTTCTGTGTAAGGTCCTGTGGTCCAGTATTCAGACTTGTCAGGCAAAGTGCAGAGTCCTTGCTGTGTGGTAAGAGAGGTCCACATTGTCAGTGATGGTCCTTCAACAGGACTCAGCTAGAACTTGATGATTGGTGCAGACTCAGAGCACAGTGGCGATCCATGGCTCCAGGAGAAGATCCAAACCAGGCATCCTTAGGCTTCCTAGCTTTCATACTCAGCCCCTCTGCCGAGAGTTATTCCTCTCACTGTGGACATGTTTTGTTGTTGTTGTTTGTTTTTGTTTTAAACCAAGGAAGGAAGAGCTCTGAACTTGAACCTTTGTAACTTACCCTGTGAATTAAAATGTAACAATAAAAGCATCACTGTTTCCTTTATGTGTCACTGCCAGAAAAGGTTCTTTCCCCCCTCCTTGTAGACTTGATGCTCAGAAGGTGGCTTGTCAACAGCCATGACTGTCACTCATTAAGCAGCAGAGTGCACACCAATGTGCCTACGCCTGCAGAGCACCCAGGGGGTCTTGCCCTTCCCCTCTGATGGCTGAGTAGGTGAGGATGAGTTATGAACTTGGCAGTGTGGAGATGGTGAGGTGACTCATCGCAAGCGATTTTGATCTTGGGTACAAAAGCCAGGTGTAGGTTTTAAAAAGTAGGAAGGAAAAATGAGAGAGAACAGATAAAGTTCTGAAGTTCTTTTAAAATTCATTTTTATAAGTTTGTTTATATGTATGTGAGGCTGTGTGAGTTTGTATGCAGCACGTGCATGCAGATGCCATTGGAGGCCAGAGGGCATCAGATTCCCTGGAACTGGAGTTACAAATGGTTATGAGCTACTATGTGGGTGATGAGGATCAAACCTGGGTCCTCCAGCCCCTAAGATTTTATTTTTCTTTATATTTATGCATCTGTGTGAGTGTATGCCACATGTGTGCAGGTGCCCACAGAGACCAGAAAAGAGAGTCAGATATCTGGACTGGAGTTAACAGGTGGTTGTGTGCTACCTGATGTGGTTGCTGGGAACTGAACTCAAGTCCTCTGGAAGAGCAGTAAGTGCTCTTAACCATTGAACTCTCTCAAGCCCCCCCCCCCCCCCCCCCCCATCAGCCATTTTTGTTTTGCTTACCTCAGCGATGTAAACTCTCTTTGTGAGAACTGGAGGCTTGCTGGTGTCTCCGCAGACCTGATGATCTGTGCCCTCAGCCTCTCCTATCTTCCCACAGTGAGCTTGATAGTCCCTGACTTAGTACTGACAGTGCCTCCTGTGTGCTTTGAGTTTTGATGTGTTTCCAGGAGAGGGGTATGTTCAGTTGCAACACCCTCAGCCCTGGACAGCTGCAGCTCTGGTGTGGTCACATGGTTACCCAGTTATCCCCTGGTGTCTGGGTGGGATCAGTCCTGGGAGCCCCATGAACACCAAAATCTGCTGATGCTTACATCCCTGGGATCAATTGAAATAGCGTTTGCATGTAACCACACAGGTCCTCTGTGTACTTGACGTCCTCTCTAGATTCTAACATCCAACACTACATAAACACAGTATATTATAGACTGAGTATGTTTTCCCAGTGAGAAGTCACTCCAGCACTTGGAGATTAATAAAGGAAACTCTTTAATAATAGCATGGGACTGGTTCTGGCTACTGCACAAAAGAGAACCAGCCCTGAACAGAAATCCCCCCTCAGTTTAGTAGTTTCAGGGCCCACAGTTACACTTTAGTTCCAAAGTTTGGCTATTCAGATGAATGAAGGAGATTAACAATATAGTAAGTAATACAGTACAATAAAGTAATTGTCATAGTTATCCCGAGACAGCCCCTAGGCTGCTGTTAACCAGGGCTATCCTGCTTGCTTGGCAGAAAATTGCTCTTTCAGATAAGAGTACCTGGATAGGATTCAGTAGCGCTGTGACCCAGTGCTCTTCCCTTTGGTCGATCCAGCAGAGGCATGTTCTTTGATAAGGGAATGTTCCTGATGGCCAGCTCTGAGCCAGGGTGTCTCCTTTTGTTATGACCCTAATAGGTAGCAGAAACACTCAGCAAACCTAAACTGTAATTATGTTCCAGATACAAATGTTTCTTTCCTACAGTCTGGTAAGCACACTGCTCAGCCTTGAGCACTTTTTTGGCTAAAGTCTACACTGTGAAACCTAGTATTTTCTAAGAAGGTTTAACAGATCCTTTAGACCATCAGCTTCTTGTTCCTAGTTTCTCCTGTATTAGCAAGAGACTTCCAGTTACTGGGATCCAGGCGTGGAGTGACTGACAGCCTTGGGAGTGTGAAGTAGTAGGGAGTACTCATTGGAGAGCAAGACTGGAGTTCTTGGGAGTGGGCAGACAGTAGGGTCTCTACATAGCATCTCCACAAAGATTGGCCATCCAGGGGATATACTGGAACCTGGGAACAAATGCAGTATACCATTTTCAAAGTGTGGGGCTACATCCACAGACCACACATCTGCCTCAAGATTGCCCTTTCAAAAATTTGTGTGTGTCTGTGTGGGTATGTGCATAGGAGTACAGGTATCTACAGAGGCCAAAACATAGATCTGCTCCCTGAAGCTGAAGTTACAGGTGGTTGTGAGCTGCCCAATATGTTTGCTGGATCTAAACTTGGGTCCTCTACAAAGTAGTGTACCCTCTTACATGCACTTTTTTTCCCCCCAGTATTTTGAGACAGGGTTTAATTGTGTAGCTCTGGCTGTCCCAGAATTCACTTTGTAGATCAGGCTGGCTTCAAACTCGGAGATCCACTTGCCTCTGCCTCCTGAGTGCTGGGATTAAAGGTGTGCACCATCATGCCTGGTTTAAGTGAACTTTTTTTTTTTCCTTTTGTTTTTTGAGGCAGGGTTTTTCTGTAAAACAGTCCTGGCTGTTCTAGAACTCACTCTGTAGACCAGGCTGGCCTCGAACTCACAGAGATCCATCTGTCTCTACATCCCAAGTGCTGGGATTAAAGGCGTGAGCCACCACTGCCCAGTGTGAGTGAACTTTTAATGGCTGAGTCATCTCTCTCTCTTCCAAACTGCCCTTTCTGACTGAGCACCCGAGGAACAAAGCAAAAGGGCCCTGCACAGGGTCTCCTCTGCACCCTGCTCACCTCTAGATCCTCTTTCAGGAAGAGCTTGCTCAGCTGCAGGTTCCAGTGAATAACCCAATTTCTATACCAGGCTTGGTAGTCAAGGCCCATCTCCTAAATTGTGAGCCCAAGACTCTAGGTTTGTGTCCTCCATCTTTTTGTCTGGTTCAGTCACATTACCCAAGCATGCTTGCTGCCCACACTTAGGTTGTGCCAGGGCCAACTGTGGTCCAACTCAGTACTAAATTAAGACTGAGAATAGGCCTATCCTTCTGGTGTCTAAATCGCCCAAAGTACATTTTGCCGGGCAGACTTTCACATTAACTGTTCAAAGTGGTAAATATTTGGTGTTATAAAAGCCCTTCCTGTTTTTCAAGGTGCAGATGCCCCTGGCAGTAGTTAGAAACTGCCCTCAAAGGCCGTCCCAGCAGCTGGGGCCATGGGGCTAGTTTAGGAGAACGCATGTTGGGTTCATCTCAACAGCAATGGGGGTTGGGTTAGATGGGTGCATAGAGCCAGGCCATTGGAGGCCCTCAGCCGCTGGGGCCACGTGGGTAGTTCAGCAGGATACACAGACGCTGGCCACCAGAAGCTGGGGCTGTGGAGGTAGTTTACGCGTGCACATAAACTGGACAGGAGTCGTCGTTCCACTGGGCTGCGCAAAAGCGCGTGCTCCTTTTCTTACTTTGCAGGCCAGTAAGCCCCGCGAACCAGCGTTCCCCACGGTTGGAGAACGATCTGGCCCCGCCCTCGCTCCCGCCCCCGGGCCTCAAATGTCGCGAGATCCCTGGACATCTTCTCGCCTCTGGTGCCGGGACCCCAGGAGCGCGCACGCAGGTCGCGGGCGCGCGGGGCACGCCAGGCCGCTGCGCCTGTCCCTTTGGCGTCGTGGTCTCGCGAGAGTTGCGAGTAAACATCCCCGAATGGAGAGTCAAGGCGTGTTCGCGGCGGAGGCGCCGTTCCCCCGGGCCCGCCGGCCTCGAGCCTGAGGCGGACGCAGGTACGTCAGCCGGCCGCGGGCGAGAGCTGGCCGCGCCCTAGGCCCGGCCGCTCGGTCCCCGCGTGGGGGCCGCGGGCGACCGCTGTTGCTTCACCCGCAATTGGCCCGGAGCAGCGGCCTGGCCTGCGCCTGCGCGCCGCGGTGCGCACGCGCCGCCCTCCTCTGCAGGGTCCTGCGGTCGCGAGCCCCGGGGAACGGGCCCCGCGGGTCCGTGCACATTAAGGCTCGTCGTTGCATTTACTGTAGCGTTTTTCGAGTGGCGCTTTGAGGTGACAGGAGGAACCCACTTGAAGATCTGATTCTGGGTGCCAGCCTCTAAGGTTAGGAAGCGAAAGAAAAGCCGGACGGAGAGAAAAGCAGTTCCTTCCATTAAAATCTGCAAAACTAGTTTTTACATGGAAAAAAAGAAAAACCTTTAATATTTAAGACAAAGTCTAATTCTGGCTCAGCTGGCTTTGAGCTCCGGATCCTCCCCCCTCCACCCCTGGTGCTGGAATTTAAAACATGCACCACCACACCTGCCTTACCGTTACTTTTTAAATGTAGGAACTTAATTTTTATAAAATGTCCATATCAAAGGGCCACTTTCTTTAAGTGTTAGCACCGCAACCCACTTTGAGAACCACTCCCAAGACCCCTGGTACCCTTTTGTGGTCAGTATCCATTTTCAGCCTGCTTAGCACCAATATACCTGTCTCCTTAGATTTGCCTTTTGGGAATAGTCAGTCAGGAGTCCCATGTGGCCTCTTGTGTCTGGTTTATTGGTGCCTTGTTTCCAGAATTCATCTTGTCGCATGAATCAGTACTTTTTGGTTGTAGCATGAATCAGAATTTCATCCTTTTTTATGGCTAACTGATATTCCATTGTATAACAGCGACCCCCACCTCCCCACCCCCATTCATGTGGAACACCTTTTGCTAAGAAAGTTTTATCTTCCGGTATGTGACACATTTGGCCCCAGAGCTGTTTTTCGGGGAGGTGGCTACCTGAACTGCACTATTAGGACTCTCCTGCAGTCCTCAGACATCCCGCATAACCTAGAGTTGGCTGTTACCTATTCAAAAGGTGATGTAGTGTTGGCAGGCCCCTCCCTGCAGTCACCTAGGAATGAAGGAGGGTGTTTTCTAGTCAGATTTTTTTTTCTTGTTGCCATCATATTCTTATATTCTTTGATTCGATTCTCTGCCTGACAGTAGACAGTCCTTCCCTGGAGGGGAAATCTCTGTGTATGTGTGTGCAGTTGTGCGTGGAGGCCAGAGCTCTGTAGGTGTCAATGATCATGCACCACCTTATTTTTTTGAGACAGGACTCTGGAGCTTACTGATTGAGCTAGACTAACAGGTCAGTGCACCCCAGGGATGGTTCTGTCTCTGCCTCCCAGGGCTGGGATTATGGGTGTCCACTGGCTTGCTCAGCTTTTTGTGTGAATTTTGGGAATCTGAATTCAAGTCCTTGTGCCCCCTGGACCATTTCTCCAGCGCCTCCAAGGAGTGTTTTTAGTGGTTTCTTCTGGGGAGGAAGTTGTACATTATTAGCAACTTTTTTAAAAATGATTTATTTATTTTTATTTTATGTGCACTGGTGTTTTGCCTGCATGCATGTCTGTGTGAAGTTTTTGGATCCCCTGGCACTGGAGTTATAGATAGTTGTGAGCTGCCATGTGGGTGCTCGGAAATGAACCTGTGTCCTCTGGAAGAGCAACCATTGCTCTTAGCTGCTGAGCCATCTCTCTAGCCCCCTCTTAGCGACTCTTGATTGTTAATTACTCTAGTCTTTCAGGGGTGGTATAGATGGGATCAGAACCAGTGATCTGAAATGCTAAGGAGTCCAGACCTAACATTTGGTATTTTGGGAGGTGACAGACTCTAAGATAGACCGAGGCAGGTTAAAGAGGTGACAGATGAGTTTCTTTCTCTTTCCTAGCGGTGCAGTCTGTTTTGATATGTTTCACAAACCCATCTACATGTGCTATGTATGGGTGCATACATGCCACAGCACACATGTGGAGGTCAGAGGACAAGCTGTGGAGTTGGTTCTCTTTTCTCACCTTTATGAGGGTTCCAGGGATCAAACTCAGGTCACCAGGCCAGCATAGCAAGTGCCTTTCTTTACCCATGGGGCCATCTGACCAGCCCTATTGATCCATTTTTAATTTTATTTACATGAGAGTTTGGCCTGTATGTATATGTGTGCACCACTTGCCTGAGAAGACCAGAAGAGGGCATCAGATCTCCTGGAACTGGCATTTTAGACAGTTGTGAGCATGTGGATACTGGGAATAGAACCTGGGTCCTCTGGAAGAGCAGCAAGTGCTCTTAACCATTGAGTCATCTCTCCAGACTTAGGCCCTATCTTGACAGTAGGCTTTTTTTTCCTTATGGAGGTGAATTTCAGATAAAATGAGGAGTGGGAAGTTTGGTGGCACAATCTGTGGTTGGCTGGTACCTTTTAGATGTCTAGGGACTAGGAGAGACTGCTTTAAGCCAAGAGCACACTCTGCAGGGACAGGCAGTAAATGCCTTGGGTTCTCTGTTCACACAACACTGACTGATGGCTCATTGAGACCTCCATATGCACCTTTATTTTAAGAGAGTATCTTCTAGCACTGCTTAATTGTTAGCCTGTTAAACAGTGGGAATACAGCCAAGTATGCAATTAAGTTACAAAAGAGATCGTTTTCTAGCCAACTTTTAATTAAATTGAATAGTACCCTTTCATCGCTTAAACAGTTAGCCTTCACAGGAGTTATTTCAGTAAACTAGTTTATTAAGAGGCAGGGCATGGGGGCATAATTAAATGACTGTGATATGGGTCATTTCCTTTCACCTGGATTAGATTTTAAAATTATATTCAAGCAAATAACTTCAGATATATTTAAATTATACCCAGAAGTGTAATCTTGGTGATGTTCTCTTCCTGTGCACATTGTAAGTAGAATTTCAAAGCTGAAAGGGGCATTAGCTGCCTCTTGCTGCTTGCTCTCCTTCTCCCTCTTACACAGGTGCCCCGCTGCGTCTGTTCTTGATATGCAGGTGTCTTCCTCGTTTAGTGTTGGATGTCGGGCTCTTCTCGAGTCCCTCTATGTGAGTGCTGTAGTCACACTCATGGTAAGCCATGGGTAGAAGGACTGGCTTTAGGGTATGCTTTTTGTAGAAGATAACCATGTCTTCTACAAGGAGGCCTGGGAATTTAATCTGATCAGCACTTGTTGAATCCAGGGACAGCCTCAGGAGACCCTGCCAATAAGCGGTATGCCTGTGAAATTTCTGGAAGGAGTAGTGATCTCCCTTAGCTGGGAAGGCCACTGTAGACAGCTTTGTGGGAACAGCTTTTTGGAGAAAATTAGTTTAAGATCACTGTATCAAAATAAGTAAGTCTGACATGGTTGATTTTTGTTGTTCTGTTTTGTTTTTATTTTTGCAGGGTCACATTATGTATCTCTGGCTGTCCTAGAACTCACTGTGCAGACCAGCTGGTCTCAAACTTACAGAGATCACGCCTGACACACAGTTGAGTTTTTGTGCTGCTGTCTTACCAGAAAATATAACTTCCTTGTTTAAATTTTATTTTGAAGGATTTATTAAAAATAACAAATATGACTTATCTAATTATAAAAATAATAAAAACCCTTTCCACACTGTGAAGAGAACGTAATAAAATGGAAAAGGATAAGTCATCCTGCTAGAGGTAGAAGCACTGTTACCATCTTGTTATCTTTCAGTTTTTTTTTTTCTGTATACATAGATGTATTAAAAACACTTTTCAGGTTAACTTTTATTTTATTTTGCCTAAATGTGTGTATGTGCACCATGTGCTTGCCTGGTGTCCATAGAGGTAAGAAGAGAAAGATTGATCCCCTTGAATTGGAGTTTGGATTGTTTGTGAACCATTACGTGGGTGCTGGGAATCAAACCTATGCCCTCTGCAAGAATAGCAAGCACTCTTAATCACCAAGCTGTCTCTCCAACTCTATGGATGCATTTTAAAAGTCAGTTTGTGGGGACTTGGGAAGTAGAGGCAGGTGGATCTCTGAATTTGAGGCCAGCTGGGTCTACATAGTAAGTTCTAAGACAGCCAGGGCTATATAGAGAGACTGTCTCCAAAAATGGAGTGGGGGTGGGGGCAGAATTTAGTGCTTTCTGTACATGAGCTGATTTCTTTAGTACTTCATTAGTACATTCTCCTGTTCTTAGCACAAACTGACACTCACTTCCTGTGTTACCATTCTATAGGGCAGAGGTCCAAAATGAGTCTCATAGGGCTAAAGTCAAGATGTTGACAGCTGATTCTTTCTGGAGGCTCAGGAGAGAATCTGGTTCCTTCTGTTTATAGAAGCCACCTATATTCCGTGGCTCCTTGATTTCAAGAACCCAAACCCTGGCTTTTGTCATTCCCACCTCTGAAGCACCCACCTGGCTGAATAGAGATCTTACAGTGACTGGTGGGTAGAGGATGCCTTTCCCAACTGAGTCTTTGTCTGTATACCATCACGTCTCTTTCTGGGGCTTAGGATGTGGACATCTGTGGGGGACCATGATTCACCCTGGCTCAAGACATAGTTTGAAAAGTTGCTGCAGGGCATTCTATAGTACAAGCAAACCATAATCAGTTCCCCGTCCCTATTATTGTATGCTTAGATAGTCTCTAATTTCCCTCTATTACAGTCTTGCTCCGTAGATCCTTGGATGTAAATAGTGTGTTTCAGGTTCATGCATGTTGGACTGAATTCCTAGGGGACATTTTTAAAACAGTAGGCTTTTTCCCTCTGAAGAATGTGAGCCAGACACTGGGGTTCCCAGACACCTTTCCCACTCAACAACAGGGTGTAGGGCAGCAAGGGCATCCTTCCTGTAGGAATCCGTTTTCTCACCCCAAAGTGGGGGAAATAACAGGATGTTATGACGGTTATGTGAGTTATTTCAAGACAGTGAATTCGAATCTCACTTGCCACCAAGAAATGCTTATTGAGTGTTAAGTTTTTGTTCCTGGTCAGGAATCT